AGGATCGACGAATGCATGACTGTGACAATCTAGTTAATCGACCCTCACGACGAGCTGCTAACAAAAAAGGATGGAATAATCTCGTATCCTCATTGCTACGCGAATGAGTTGGCGCGTCCGCCGCGTTCCAAGGGACCTCCTATGTCGGGGCTCTCTTGATTCGAGACCGTGAGATAGGAGCGCAAGAGGCCAAACGTGCTCGGGAGCGTTTTGCTCGGCTTTTCGCCATATCCGAAAGCTTATCCTCCTCCTCCGTCGTCGGTCGGTCGGACCGCTCCCCGATTACTGATCGGTGGACGCCTAGTTCGTGTCAAACATTCCCGCCCCAGATAAGCACAATCAGAGACCACGGAAAGATGTCATTCTCTGATTGTGGCAACTCCTGCGCAACAACTCCATCTCGGTAGGTCCAGCCTGGTCCTCCGCTTTGTCGGAATGGGTCAAGTGGAGCAAGTTGTAGCGGGTCCAATCGCCGCTCCTCTGCGAGCGGCGAAGGTGCTCTCAGAGGTGAAACAGAAATCATCAGGGCTCTATTCATGCCAAGACGAGCTCCGTGACCGAATGAAACACCTGCGGGAAGGTCGGCCTAACTTGTCGAGAGAAGCTTTTCTCGACGGTCTGTGGGCGGGTTCCCGGCAAACTTCTTTCTTCCCGACGACCGATACTTACTGCGATTTGATTATTTCCGTCGGCTTGAACGAAGAGTTTCGGAGGAGAACTTTCCGGAATCCTAATGGAATCAAATATCACTCAGTCCTTCCCCGAGCACACGAGTCCCTCCGAGTTTTCTGAACGGGATTCGCGGGAACTAGGGAAGCATCGCGGGGTCTCGAAGAATCGAAGACGAAGTTGTTGGGAACAGGCTGCACTGCGACGCGATCTCGCAGCCGCGTATCCGCTGAGCTCGTTCTCAAGGATTCATTTTTTTTCTTTCTCGTTCCCCCCAGAACTCAAAAAGAATTGAAATGAGTGGCGCGACTTGAACGAGACACAGCAGAAGGCTTGTTCCACTGCCGGTCGTTGTTGTTGCTCGCGACGCTGTTACAGTATTTTTTCCTCCGTTGAAAAAGCACCCACGAGGGAAAGATGATGTTTTTTGATCATGAAACCAAAGAGCTCGCTCAACATGAAGATGCGGGCGATGACGAACCGGGGCCAAATGCGAGAGGACTGGCTGGATAAAGGGCTCTTGCCAGCCAGTCCGCCCGCCCGCCTGCTCGCTCGTTTGCGAGCCCCCTCGACAGCGACTGAGTACGAGAAACGATATTCCTAGCAAACAATGAACAACCCGATTTGAATTCTTCCGCAGGGTACGCAGCGGCGCAAAACACACACAAGTCCTGGACCTCCGGTGATTCCTCGAGTTCGGCAGCGTCGCTTAAAAGTCCGGAGCGCTCCATAATTCTCCCACACCTCAGGATATCGACGACGATATGACCGAATGGGATTCGCTTGGATCTTTCCGGAGGAATTTTGTCGAAGAGGCCGCGGAAGAATTCGATTTCCAGTCGCTTAGCACCGGGAGGATTCGACGGCTTGTTTCCTCCCCGTTCCCTTCTAGGGAGCGAACGGGCAATGGGAGCAGATAATCGAGTTTTTGTCTCGATCAACTTGGATCAAACCCACTCGGCGGAACCGTGGATCGAGAAGTTTGATGATGACCTCTGAGCTTGAAGTTAGGCTTCGAGCACGCCATGTTCGGGGTGGGGAAAACAGGGCCTGGGGTGACCTGGCGGGTCGGTGGGTAAGGGAGCCTCGATCGAGGTTCAATTGGTTTGCTGCTACCGTGGCTGCCCACTCAGTCGTAGCTCGAAGCAGCAACCAGAGCAGCAAACCACCGACGACCTCGCTAGCGCCACTCGGATGGATGCGCGCTGCCCGGGGAAGTCAGGAGCACACGTGCGGAGTTGTAATGTTGAAGTTTACGCATAGCAATCGTCGATGGGTTACGCTCTGCCGCAAAACGAAACATTCTCGGAACGATACGCGGACCAACGGCGGGAACTAACGGGTCGCGTCCGCATGATGCTGTTTGAGGTGCGAGGGATGACATCCAAACCAAGTGCTAAAAGAATATCGGGAACCGTTGTTCCTGCCAGAGCATCCATCAGTTTCAGTCGGAGTCTGGACCCTTCTTCGATTCACCTATGCCCTGATCTAAGCGGGTCAGGTATCGACTACCGAAGTGAGGGGCCAACATTCGGACGAGTGCGCGAGTTTCACGGGCGGACCCCTCAACGGGTCTTCTCGTCTGTTTCGTTTCGCACGTCAAGGAAACAGATTCACGGTTCACCCTTCTCCCGCCTTCGCGGCGGGGCGGCCAAGGCTCCCCGAGCGATCTGCTGTTCGGTCGGCATCTCGTCGGTACCTCCTACAACAGCAACAACAACTACTGCGGCAGCGGCACGGAAAGAAGAGGAGATGCGGTCACGCCACGTCAAGTTGTCGGAACGGGGCATGGACTTGTCTGTAGGGAGAGCAAAATAAGCATTCAAAGGCTGTCACTTCCCGCCAATACCTCTGTCGAGGAATGTGAGGGAGTCGGGAGTAATCGTCTACGATCGGGTGCATTATTTTATGCCTCCACTCGATCGCCAATGTTCGCGCCGATTGTGGCTCTAGGCGCAGTTTTGCTCACGGCGCCGGCGGTCTGGTCCAACCTGGTTGAGCTATGCGCCCAGTGATCCTAGAATCTCCGGATCGGGGCATATCTCGCGGCGCCGGCGTTCGAACGCGCAGACTTCCGCTTCTGCTCACCTACAGCTGCTCGGAGCCCGAGCTCATTTTTCTGGTTTAGGTTTTTTTAGTTTCCCCTACTCCCCAATGGGTTTTTCCCCGCTAGCGGCAACGGACGAGTTTGGGAAACTCAATGAAATCCCCACAAGCGCTTTTCGGCTTTCAGCCTCCACGGGGGGACTTTCCCCGGCTCTCGGCACCATTGCCTAGGAGAGATCCAGCTCCCATGTGCGCGGAAGGCCCCGATTGACCGAGTCCCAGCACCGGGCCGGGTTCTCGGCGAGATTCCAGCGCGAGCAAGGCGCGACGGCGCGGCGTAACACGCGGTCTTCGGGCGGGCGGTCCGAAACCATTCCGTCCTTCGAGACATCCGCCTCGCGTAGCTTATGGCTGCGCGGTACTTCCCGCTTTTCAGCAGCAAAGTGATCGTCTGACTGTCTCGGTGCTTCGAGAAAGGTCCAGAAACGATGAGCTGTACATCCTGGATCGAACCTAGACGACTCTGTTCGACCTCGAAGAAGGAGCGTGTCCTCCTGACTCCAAGCAACCTCGGCACGTGACCGCTTCCCGGAGCAATGTAACAACTACTCGTCGCACACGCGCCGAGTCACCCGTCGGTTCCGGGGCTGCACTTGTGCTGCCGGAGTACCACTGCTCAAGGTGGCTTCATATTATTGCCGGTCGAATATCTTTTGGGCGATCGTCGAGGTGGTGTCTTGGGCGTCTCCGACCGAGACACGAGCTCCGCTTGCCTCGCCCGAGTACGTCCGAGAGCTCCGGCAAACTGAAGGTCGGGTTGCTTGGCCACGGCAGGTCGACTTACCGGACGGATCCCGGAAGAGAATTCAAGATTTTCACACTATGCACTCCGGAGCAAGACACGAGCGGAAATTCCGAATCCTTTCTATTTTACTTCTCGCTTCAGGTCTGGCTGAAAGCAGAACGAAAATTGCCCGAGAAACAAATTCGAAAGACACGCGACGGCAGACAGGGGAGAAAAGAGTGCGGGACTCTATGGATGTGAGAATGAAGAATGGCATTGAGCCATTCGCCGGCGGGTCGGGTAGATTCGCGCGCTCGCTTTATATTTCTCCCCTGCACAGCTCCTTCATCCGTCTGTCTGACTGACGATGTACGGGTCGGAAGGTTCGCGCCCTTCTAACATTCAACTCCGCTCACTTATACATAACGGTTCATATATCTTCGCGTCGCTTGTTGCTCGCGCTAGATACCTACGTCTGCAACAAGAATGGAAAAGAAACTCTCGTGCCTGCGAAGGCTTCCCATAGTCTTGAGGAGCTTCGGTAATAGGGATCGCGCGGAAATTATGCCGACTCACCTCGTCGGAGAGGATCGAACTAAGCCATGACTCGCGAGTGGAGCTCGCCCCTGCGATCGACGCAATCAGATCATGAGACCAAACCGGAAGAGAATCATCGGAGATCAGCACTCATCGGGAAATACTAATGTACAATCATTTCGGGAGCCCTTCCAGATGGAATTTTTTTTTTCACAATTATTGTGGAATGGGAATTACCATCGAGAACGTCATCGAACAGTGAATGAGAGGCTTGAAAAAACACTAAGATCCTCACGGAGCAGACAACACCTTGAGAACAAAGATAATTATCTCCTCGGGTCCCTTGTCGACTGGTGTTTTGTTAGGCGTTGTACTTTCAGCCGCCGAGTCCTATCGCCAGCGCTAAGTTGCCTGCGCCTTTCTTACTCCCGTCACGCCCGCACGTTTGCCTCGGTCTCTGCTTCCTTCTCGCCAGCCAACGAGCCATGCGGCCGGCGGGCCGGCCGTCTTGTTTGCTTGCCTGTCTTAGTTGCCTGCTCGCTTGCTTGTTTGCTCGCTTGCGACAACGCGTGAGTTTAAAAGCTGCCAAGTTTCCCATGAGCGCTTCTCAGCTTTCCTCTAACGACTATCAGCTGATGAGCAGAATAAACGATTCATTATTGTGTTGAGGTGTTCCTTCTCTAGTCGTCGTCGCTGCCACCGCACCACCATCAGCCTCATCATCAGGAACAACAGCGACGCCGCCAAGATAGTTCTGTCACGCGAAACCGAAGTCGCATCACCACACTCCGCACTGTACTTTAGCATCAATCGCAGCGACGAGCCTGGCTGCGTGAGAGGGAACTTATTTCCGCCGCCTAACTCCTTCGGAAACTCGGGACTCTTCTCGACGTGATAAAAAGCGTTCGCATGCTCACCCGCAGCGATTTCGCGGACGTGAGGAATTCGTCGAAACAGATTTGTCGGGATATCAACTCGTCATTTATCGATGGATGTATGCACAGGACCAATCGGTGCACGCTTATGAACTGGCTCGTCCAGAGAATAGCTAATAGACGTGGGAATCGCTTGCATCTTCCAAGAGATTCACACAGTCATCGGTTACAGCGTTGAGTTTCGATCTACAGCGATAGCAAGAAGAAAATCGAGCGGATACGCTTTCCTCTACGATCACGGAGGCAAATCGTTTCGTCGAGGCCCTCCACCATCGGGCTCGCCCGCAAGAATATCACTCTAGTATTTCGTTTTCATTGACTTCAGAATTCGATCCAGGGACAGAAGGCACGAAGAATTGTCTCTCCAGGTATCCGATGGTCTTCATGAGCTCATGTCGATTGCAGGTCTTGGGGCACTGCTTTCCGTTTTGACCCGCATCATACATGTCCAGGGCCCAGCTCTTCCTCGGGAGACCGCCCATCATGATGAGCATATTCGTCACTTGTCCGACACTGAAGTTTTGCATCAATCATTAAGCAATGTCTCGGATTATCATTCATGTAGGTACATAGCTCGAAGTTATGAATTATGACGTTTGGCTTTTCAAACAGTGTCCCTTCAATCATAGTCTCAGTGTGCCCCCATAGTGCGAAAACAGGGGGCGACCTATAACTGGTCTCTCCGGAATGAATTAAACGATGGGAATCTCTTGAATCATCCCATGACTGGCATCTGAATCTCCAGAGCCTTGGGATTGTCCAAGTTGGGATTCTATGTAGATGTCCGTAGAAGCCTCGCAAAATCATATTGTGAGCTGCCGCGGGATGGATACCGAATTCCTCACCCCAAGCTTGATGAAATAGGAGGACTCGACTACCTTGACTCGATTGACGGGATATGTTCAGTTCAAAGGCTATACTTACTTTCCGAAATTGCTTTGATCAGCACCGAGTTCGCAGAAGAACCTGCGGATGCACTTCTCGTCATCTATCGACTTCAGCCAGCGTAGGAAGCCCCTATTCAACGTGATTCCTCCGCTTGCGTCTCTACGAGTCTGGAAAATAATACCCACCACTTTCAGAGAACGTCTTCGCTTAATACCTCTAATCGCGGACGAGACCCGCCGACGAGGCTATTAACTGTTTCCTCGATTCCCGAGCGCGCAGAATAACTTCTCTAACGTAACTCTTTCGTGGACGAGATCGCCTCCGGCATCGTCAACAGCGACCACCGCCGAACGCTCGACGTCGGCCGATCGCGCATCCCTCTCCTTCGCGACGGAGGCTCCTCGTGGCGACAGCTCTAGGCGATGTCCTGTGCCCGAAACTGGGTCGATCATGATAATCGTGGGGGAATCTCTCGCCGGGGGCACATCTCGATGGAACAGCTAAAAAAATAATGGTTGCGGGAGAGTCATTCCGTTTATGGATAACAACCGTTCTCACGAGCAAAATCCAGCGATTTTTCTCAAAAAAGTCAATTTTCCTCGAAGGACTAACCTTCGTTCCATATAAGAGTTTCAAACCTGCGAGACCTGCTAAGCCTAGGCCCACAACTCCGACCGAGAACGGAATCGCTTGTGTCAGTAGGACCTGTGCGCACACAAGAACCGCGACGAGAATCCGCGAAAGCTGCATTTCCGATTCGATTCGTTCACCTGAAACGGCATTGTCATGCATCCACGGGAACCACGGAAGTTGCCCAGCTATATTTTCGGCGTTTCGCACCAACCTGTAAACCTTGCGAATTTTAGAACGTTGAGCTCGCCGCGGAAATGATCGGAGACCCAGTCTTGTTTTGGCCGAAGACGTGCCAGACATCGCGCAAACGTGGCAAACCTGTCGTGTTCTGTAATCACGGTCTCTTCCAGACTTTGCGGGTCTCGCAGAATAGGAATACCTCGGATTCGAAGGGAAATTACCAATTCAATATTTCCGGCGGTCGTCCGCCGTCCCTGGAGCAACCCCCGTCCCTGGAATCTCGACTCAGGCAATCACATGAACCCGCGAATTTCGGGGGAATATCCAGAGCACGACCCGTGCCGCGCCGCATTCGCTTCGGACACCCGAGCAATCAGGAGGATACGGCTCGGATTTCGCGGTTCAAAATCGGGCTCACAAGGGCGAGGAATGCCAAGGAAACCCCTGTTCCACAAAAGAGCGAATTTGTATCGAGTAATGAAACGCCTGTGCACTTGATTGAGATGTCATTCAACACGTGCCTCCTCTTCAAAGCTGCGGAACTAATCCGCGTTGCTCACGCGCCGAGTCATTCCATGGCCTTCGACTCTGCACTTGTATACCCGAATCATCACCACGGTCATCAGCACTTCATTGGGACTCGGAGTCGGGACAGAGCGGTCGACTCGATGATCACAGCTCCGACCGTTTACTCGTCGTCACCCTCTGAGGTACGAGCAGGAAATCGAGATGTTGCTTCGAGGAGGAGGCACAGGCCGGCGCCCTCAGGGACAAACCCCGATTGATTCTTAGAGGAAGGTGGGAGCAGTGATCTCCCGGCCGAGACCGACAGCGCCACGACGCAGCCAAGCATTGAAAAAGGTAAGCTAAGATTACAACGATGAATCCGCCGTCACACGATTCTCGGATACACTGTTATAAGCCGGATTAGCTTCGCTGAACACGAATTGGATGGGCAGGACAAGTGCTCGGGTCGACGGCTCTGTCAACTCGATTGGATCAGGAGGAGCTCGGCTCGGGTCAGCCTCTTGAATACATTGCGCTGGCTGTCGCAATACCTCCGATCTCAGGTCGGTGATTCAATCGCACGGAGCCTCTCGGAAGAATCTCCCGAGATTTTCCCTCTTCCTTCTCGATCACGGAACGGCATGTTCGAGTTCTCCGGATCGGGTTTCCTACCATTTTCTATTCAATGTGCCGAAGTGAGACCTTTCGACATGTTGATTTCGTACTGAGAGCGGGTATGTCTCGTGGCTTGACAAACTATTCATTTGACGGATCGGGCAAGCCATGCCGTTGTTGATCGACCTTATCGCTTGTTTGCAGCTCGCCGCTCGAGCTCTTTTTACGTCGGGCAATGCCTGCACTTGCGTCATCAAACCCTTGAGATCTGTTCGTTCCTCATACGACACGATCGGGAGGGTGCACGGGTGGGTGGTCGAGTGTCATGCTCGGGTGAATGAAGGCATGAAGGGATAGCCCGATGCGATCTCTTGATGGACTTGTGTAAACGATCCGACAAAGCTCGGTCTTACACAACGACAGAATACATCGAATAGAGTGTCCGTGAGCCGGGCGGTCAGCGCCCGCCCGACTGCCCCCATGTTCGTCGTATGGACACTTATGCACGCGCGGGCCAAACTCAATAGATTGGGTCCCCATCTTGAGACGGTTCGTTTACATAGTCAGACGAGCCAGCTCGGTGGAGAGACACCTTTTTCAGGTCGTAGCCCCGCCGCTCTTCTCATCCATCCATCCTTTCGTCGGTTTTTCTCAGGTGATGGTCTCTATCCCGCAAGAAAAACATTTGTTTCGCCTGGAGCGACTTAGCGATCTAGTGGGCGAGGAACACACGCTTAAGACATCAAAGGCTTGTCTGGTTGGTATGACGTCCCATGGAAAACCCATTTCCGCGGGATCGAGCTCCATGCGCGGTCCGAATCTCGCAGATCCGTGATCCAGGTCGTGAACCGATGGTATGCTCTCAATCGGTCTCCATCCCCAAGTGACCCGTCGAATATAAACGTTTCCATACAACGAATTCCAAATGCCCTCCCCCGGAATGATTGCTCTGTATTTTAATTTATATACCTAATGATTTTCAGACGCAATCATGCATTTCCGCCCGGAGATACCCATGGTCAGATATGGAGGGACTCATCGAAATTCCGAGGGCAAGAGGCTCGAGAGCTCATGGGCGATTCATTCAGACGTTGTCCATCATTCAAGGTTTCTTTCTGCTCCACATTCGGTGTGCTGAGAGGAGCGATCCTTCCCCATACAGCTCCATGCTGTTCCCCATTCATCTTTCTCGACATCGAGTCGATTCTGACTAAATGAATCCATAGACGGGCAAAATGTTGCGAGGCTCGCTCCTCCCGAAGACGGAGCCGATCGCGTTGTGCTCGGAGCTCTGGCTCTACGTCGAAGATCCCGTATCGGGCCGAAACTCCACCGCTACGGCTTCCTACGGGACGGCGTGCTTTGGAAATTGCGAGCTCCCTGCTCGGTCGGTGTTGCGGTGCCACTCCTCCAGCATAGTGGGTTGGCTGCTTGACTGACTGAATACCTGTAGGTTCCGCGCTCGAACTTTCCGCTCAGCAACCCGAACGCCCCTCCTGCCTGCTCGTCCGTCCGTCGGTCCGTGGGTTCGCGAGCTGTCTGCTCGATCCCAGGTCGCCATTCAACGGCGGCGGCCGCGAGACGGCCGCGACGACGGTGGTAGCTGTGGCGAGAGGGAAACACGTGGTGCTCTTCCCACATATTCATAAAACGGCATTTATGTCGGTGATGCCTTACCCACACTCTGCTCGAAGAGATCTGACAGCCTCCTACCCGCCGCCAAGCAGCCAGCAAGCAACCTACCCAAGCTGACTGGCGGTCGGTCGGTCGGTCGATCCGTCGGTCGTCTTTTCGCCAAGCTCGCTCGTCAGGCTCGGAGTGCAAAGTTCGGCATTCAGCTCGTCAGTAGAAAGTGGGAAGCAAAGACAGACAATGAATGAATATATTACGAGTCCAACATCGCACTCCTCCTGAAGATAGACCGCTCGTCTGACTACCTCTCATAAAAACACAGTTTTGGCGAGACTCCAGCCCGTGAATGGAAACACGAACCAACCGACCCTCTGCAACTGATGATTCTAATTTCCACGCGACCGGCTTCGGATCACCTCCGAGATCCCCTATTTTCCGGAGGGCGTGATTTGCTCTCCCAGTACCGGGAAATTTTGTGTTCCGTCCGAACTCCATATGTTTACTACTTTTCTCCTGAGCATATTTTCCTGAATCTATGATAAGACATTTCTGCCGAGGTATAATACATAATTTTTGTGAGACCTCCGGGCGACTAAGCTCTGGAGCCTTTAATATCATTCAACCAATAATAGCCCTCGAAATTCTTATCGTCGTCAAGTTTTCGATCCCATTCCGACGTGAGCCAGTCTGCTGAATCAGGCACGCGTGACAAGGTGGTACTCGGTGTTCGGTGATCCTCATGCTTTCGATAGCAGTCCGAATGAGGAAATCTTTGGGCTACCCGACAAATCGCACTTCGCATGGTCGACTCGTGAGAACAGGGATAAACTTCGAAACTTCCATATTTCTTCTACCAAGCTCCGGCTCTGCTGTAGGGTATGCCTGCTTGGAAACCCGCACGGGATCTCAAATCCATAACTCTCGCGGGCCCGCCGTCGATGGACGATGGACAGGACGGAGCTTGAATCTTCTCCTCGACGCTGAAGTGAAATGTCTCATCAATATACAAGGATCCTGCGATGTCTGAGGCGATGCGGAAAAGCGGAATCCACTCACATTCGTAGTCTCGTCTGACGTCTCTCGTGAATCTTCCAGAGGAACTTATTGAATCCGAGGAGCACGGACAGCAAGGAAAAACCGAGCCAAATCCCAATGTACCCGCCCATATAGCCGAACATTTCCACGATCGAGAGAACCGGCTGATACTCCAAAATCTGGAAGGGGACACCGGCAAACCCTCCAGTAGCCTCCGCGGAAAGAGGATCGACAGCATCTCTCCGTCCGCGATTCCATTCATCTATACGGGAAAATTAATCCCATCTTCCGCAACTCACTCTCTGAGAATACGATGCAAACTTGACCGTGAAACGGAACGAATGTTTTGAGTCTTCGGTTTTCTCCTCTGCCAGCGAAGTTAGCCGAACGTCGTATACGACTTCTCTGGAGAGGAAATTTCATACCGAACTTCCGGGACTGGAATTCTCTGGAAACTTCACCGAAATTCGAGGAACTCAGCAACTCACTCGCAGGGCGCGCCACATTTCCGGTCGCACCGCGGGACTTCGGGATTCCCCTCCAGCTTGCGGTCGCATGTCTCTGAGATGGAGGTAATTTTTTATCATATTCCTCGGTAAAAAATCCAACTCCCGGTAAGGAACGTAGTTCACCTTCTTGAGTCCTGTTGCAAGCTTCGCTGCCTTCCACTCGATGAGAAAACTCGTGCACGTTCCTTATGCAACCACAGAGCTGAGCTTCGATTTCCATACGACATTCTTGGACGCATAGCTGTGGAAGGAATATCAGTCGCTGTCATTGGCTCCCGTTCTATCCTCTTTCACTGTATCGAATTGCCCCAGAGAAAATCAGCTGGCAACGATTATTCGGAGATAGTAATGCTTATCGGAGCGATTCCGGAAAATTCGCTCTTTGGATTTCAGTTTCCGTGGATGAGTGGGCCGAGAGGCTGAGACCGAGGCTGGGTATCTTGATGACGTGGCGGGATCTGCACCAGAAAATGCTCCACCGAGAGCGAGTGGGGAGAATCTCCTCCGAGCGAGCAGATTCGTGCTCGCTGATGTTGTTGTTGCTGTTATGCTAATAACAATAAAGATTTGCCAAAATGACGCTTTTCATGGTTATGATGCCCACTACGGCCCGCTCGTTCCATCGTTCGGAACGACTCGACCGGAGAAGCGAAAAAGCACTCGCTCCACCCCGCAGTTAGAGCACTCGTGTTTGAGCCCCTCCATACGAGAAAAGGGCCTGCTTCACTCCGGGAAGACCTTTGACCGGCTGAGAGGAAGACGGCTCGCCACTTCCCCATCCATCTCTGGGCTCAAACGCCGCTCCATCTAAGACTTCATTCATATCATTAATCCATCTCTCTAGCGTTCTCCCACTTCACTAATAATTCCAAGAGCTCATCCTTGGCCAGTCTCACCCCTTCTTCTTCTTGGAGGGTATCTCCAGATGCGCTCCAATGGCTACGCTTCGAAGATTCTCTCACAGGGAAGATCGGCCGGAATGAACCTAATCGGACGCCTCATTTCGAATAAAAATCGGTCGATTCCTCGCGGGAATTCCCGTCTTTCACGTCTGCGAATGGCCCTGCTGAATCTCGTTTTGGAGAATCTGAGTGAGCGATGACTCGCGATCAATCGATTGGCATCCCGACACTCACATTCTGGTCGAGATATCCGTAGAATGTTTTTTTCCAGCCCATCCGAAGATAGTCGGTGCATCTGGACGCGTATGGTTTCGGTAGCCGTCTGATTTTGTTCTGCGTCACGCTGATCGTGTAATCCATGCCTGCAGTTTTTGAAACCGTAGAAAACCAAGTTTCAATAACGAGTTAGAGGAAAGACAGAGCACGCGATAATCATACGGCGCCGCGCCGCGGCGAACGTACCGGGCTCAATCATGATGGAAGACAGCCTCTCTGGAGGGACCGTGAGCGGTTTGTGGATGATGAGCGGGAATGTTTCGGCGTTCCCAATGCTCAGGGTGAGATTTGGTTCCCAACGGCCGAAAATCGTCAAATCTTTCGGAAAAATATTCGTGTCGCTCGAAATTTACAACGTCGGAAGTCAATTCATGATCATTGTCTATCGAAGGCCAACAAACGAAAAAGAACCCGCTGGAGAGGAGCATACCGTAGTTCCAAAGGGTCGAACATAAATTCAAGGGGTGATCTTTGGGCTTGGCCTTCTGGTACATGTCGATCGTGTAGCACATTTCAGCGGGTTGCCGGAAGTAGGTCATTTCCATGAAGTCCGCGCATTCGTACGACTCACAGGATGAGACTGAGGACCTGAATTATCATCGAAAATGAGAACGAGTCATCAAAACCTCGGAGTTCGGGGTATTCCGCGGGTTATTGCCGCAGCTGATCTCCTGCGGGTATCGAATCGGGTGCTCTGGAGGAGAAAAACAGAAAACTGGTTCGGGAACAGCGGTTCAGGATAAATCTCGCTCCAAGCTCGCATGAGTCCATGTAAGCAAAGGTATAACAGTTGTTGGCATGCTTCTTCCTCGTCGTTATTTAAAGCAGCCAACATCTGTAGGGTTTGTAGGTCGGCCATCGGCTTTCTACTTTCGTCGGGCCATTGCCCGGCCGGTGTTAATGATAGATTAAACAATTAACGGTTTCTGTTGAGCATCTCAAGGCGTCCGAGCGCTGCTCCTCATTCGCCTCTCCCAGCGAGCACCAGCTGGCGCCTGAGCCGGTCGCTTCGCCGGTCGCGGCTACTCGGAGCCTTTTTCATCCGTCGACGCCAATGTTTTGCTTCTCCATTGAGCACGATGAAATCACGACTCCAGAGCCGAGGAACCAGAAACTTGGCGCGTGCCCCCTCTCTCATCTCATTCTTCGTGTTTTTGTCTCGCTAGGATCGAAGGGGGTCGAAGCATGCATAATATCCAGCGATTTCAAGGAGGCATCGTCGGCCTCCGATTTCGCCATCGAACGGGCTCTTCGCGAGGAGTAAACTCCGGTCGACATGAGGCTTCACGGAATTTTAGGTGAAATATATTGAAATATTTGGACATATTCACACCTCATGAAGCAGCTTAACAGCTCGTGAGGCTTGTGAGCGCTATTGATCCGACCTTTGACATCGTACTGGAGCACGTTCCCGCCGTTCCCGTCGCTCAAACGGTTGTTCGCATCACATAAGCCCCGGAGTGAACACAGTCGAGTACTGTTAACCCTGTGTGGGAGAGCGAGTCAAGGTGAGGTCTCGGACGAGCGTTTGCAAATCGGGACACATGGGGCGGTTCGTGCCGAAACCCTTTCGTCGGAAAAAGCGGGGGGAACAATAGTTTGTCGAAATGTCATATCGTGTCGACTCACCAATGACTCAAACAGATTGTGACAGCGGGAAATAGTATGTTCTTCCGGACCTCCTCGATCATCGTCACCGAGAAAGGGTAATCGAAGTACACCGCCACCTGACACAATATAAAATACGATGTTAACTAACAAAAGAGCGGATAGCATTTCCTTGAGTGTCGAATGCGTCAGACGATGCAGTCGGCTCGGAATCGAAGCGCACTGAATTAATCGCGGCAGACGCTCGAGAATTAGCTGCGAAGTCTCAACGAACCATTTCGCCTCCTTGATAAAGAAAGCCGAGTGCACATCCGAACCATATGAGCCATCGTAAGACGGATCGAATAGAGGGTATCCTGCTAGCATCTTCCTTCATGTCGCGAGGCAGTTGTGAGTTCTTTCGAAAACTCTCGGAGCCTCGCTGTCACGAGCACGAAACGTGCGCACCGATCGACAATGTCCATATGAATCCAAATGTCCCCGAAAGACAGTCTCCCTGTTTAGCGACAGGTACATTTGTCGGGCGAAGTGAATTCGGAGACTGATTTTGATTTCAGCATCGATTGAAGCGGCTTGTCCAGGACTCAGAAGCCAGGGGAAGCGGATCGAAGACAAGGGTGAGCTCCGAATTTGGAATTTCTTCAAAACTGATCTCTACAGCAGCGCTCGACTAGAGAGGGGTAATTCAATGTTTGACTCGTTCATACAAACTCAAAAGCCGAGTTTGAGTTCACCCGCGTAGAACATGGATGGGCTCGAAATCGAAAGCGTATACATATGTAGAATGATCACTGATCACCTATCGCTGACTAGAGATGAGGTCAAGCTTGAGCGAGTTTCCCAACGGAGGAGCTCAGGGCTGAGAACTCATCCTCATCACCCGAGCCAGATCCTGGGATTCGGGAAGATAGCAGATGGCAACCGCGCTGCCACTCGGATGCGAACGCTTCCTAACTCTGACATTCAGACTTCAAACAGTTAATAGCAGTGGAGATTCTCATTCTAATCTGATTAAGGCCGATGGATTTTTCAACGTCAGGCGTGGCGATTTCCTTCGAGAGTTTTTGCGCTGAGCGCGGCCGACGCTTCCGGAAATTTCCGGGAAGACAGGTGATAGCGATTTCCGGTGATAGTGATTTGAATTCGAACTGAATGAATTTGAGCTATCATCGACTTCTTCGACCACCGGGCTGACGGGGAAACCGACAGACCGCGACGTTCGCACATACTCACTCAGTGAACGCAAGTGGCTTCCGGTCCGTGAGAGTCGGTCAACGAGCGTCTCTGAGGACCGTCCAAGACCGGGTTCAGTGGGGTTCCTGAGTCTGTGGGGAAAGTTCGGGCAGATTTTTGTACGAGGAAACGGGGATACAGGGGCGGCGACTCAGGCTAAGGCCAGGGCTACTGAAATTTGAGCCGAAATGGGGTGGAGAACCCGGCCTGAGAATTCAGCCAGATGCTGCCCGGCGAGAATGTGGTCAGCCATGAGGTGCACCAAAGACCATCGATTACGTCAGGGTGGATTTCCTCAGTGACAGATAGTGACACGCACGTTATCGAAGGCTCTGGCTGATCACAGCTTTGATATGAGTGATAGAGATGTTTTGTTTGATGCCGAAGTGTACGACGAAAACTACCGGGAGGGATCTCCGACTTGGAGGTACACAAGCGTCGTCCGTCGAACAGCGGATGCGGAGGGTCTTCGATTGAATGAGCTCCGAAACGGAACCGTCAAAACGGGAATCTGGGGATCATCAGTAAACGGAATATCATCTCGAATTAGGCACTGCTCTTCGCTGACTAAACGATTGGAGCGGAGACACGGATGTGATCGGTGTGACGGCCGACTGCGCTCAAACCGCGACTGGCAATACCTAATTCGATTTTGTGATCGAGCTCGTTCCCGCGAGAGTTGGCGCCCGGATTGGATTCGGTTGAAACGTTCGCCGGATAGCAGTGAGTTCGCCAGATCTCTCTGTAAGTTCGTCAGTCAGCAAAGCATCCATGCAGGGAGCAGCTAAGCTCCCCCTCTGCACCCTCTGATGGCATCATTCTGTTAGCGTTCAGGCAAGAAGAAGAAGATGCGCCGAGCAAAACCGGGAGTTAGTCGTCGTCGGCCGCGTCGGCGGCGAGGGAGGGCGGCGAAGGGAGCGGAGAGAACGGGGGTAATGATCGTGGGAAGAGACGCACTGACCCCTTACCGTCCGCCTTCCCGCTGTTGTTCGCTCTCCTCATTCTCCTTAGCCGACTGCTTGCTTGCCTGAGGCTGCCGCCTGTCCGTCCATCCGCACGCCCGCCCGCCTGTCCGCCCTCCTGCCTGGCTGGTTGGCCGACTGGCTCTTCACTTTTCCTCCTGAGTTGTTAGTAGGCGGCGTTGCGTTCACTTCCTCCCTCGTTCTCTCTCCCTGACTATCTCCTCTCAGAAGTCTCAACAACAAATAGCAGAAACATCGATTGATGACCGAATCATGGAGAGCCTACACAGCGGCGGCTTAGTGCGGCCGAGAGATCCGTAGCGTACGCAGACGAATACCAACGGAATATAAATCCACGCAATGAATGTTTCGATCGCTTCCCGACGATATCCGGCCGGAGAGAGTGCGCCATTCGGGAATTCGCTTCCGAAGTCCTTGTGAATACGACCGAGTTGAAGAGAGATTTTTCAATCGAAAGCCCGAGGATGCTGGGTCTACCTCGTTTCGGCTGCGCATCCGTCGAGCGCCAGAGCCTCGAATACTCCGCCGAAGGAGCTCCATACCCTCCTCCCTTTCCTCCCAGGTCTGCTCACTCACTTTGTTCGCCGTTTTGTCGCGCAAGTTCTCGCAGGTTTCCATGCCGAGTGGCTGCTCGGGTAGCTGGTTGACTGCCTGTGTACTTGGCTGGATGCCTGGTCTTTCGGTCGGCTGTTCACTCGCTCGCTCGCTCGCCCGCTCACTCGCTCAGAACCCTTGTTCGTCCTCCAACGTCGAGGCTCCGCCTTTCATTGGCGGCAGCAGCAGCAGCAACCAGCGGCTTCAGGAGCGGCTGCCATGCTATTGACACTTTGCCGCCGCTTTCTGCAAAAGAGTACGTACAGACCCTTTGGTGGGGGCGGGCGGCAGAGAGAGAGCGATGGCGGATCGGATCATCATCGGTTTCGTTTCTTGTTCCCATTTCGATCTATCTATCTATACATACATTCGTTCCTTCACCTGTCTCTTGGTTCTTCCATTGCTGGGCGCATTTCTCTGTTTGTGTCCTCTCTCCGTAGTGCTCGGGGACAGAGGGGGCGGCGACAAAGGAGTTGACAGTGACCGTTTTCCGATGACAGACTCGCGGAAATTTCAAGGCGATCAGTGAGCGCGAGGCGAAGAAACAGCACGGGCGGATGCATGAACTCCTGCGAGGATGCCGGATATGAGCATATTCTCACACTGCCATAGAGTGTGACTGCCGATAATTCGGAGAGTCCGGGCAATCGGCCGTACGATATGATCGCTTCCTCATCTTCCCTCGTAAAAGAGCCGGGCCTCTATTTCCTACTGGAGGGTATGAGCATGGCTCGGCAATGAAATACAACACGATAATTCGAGAACCCAAGTCAAGAATCATTTAAACATCATTGTCGATACATTAGGTTCAGATCAGACATGCATCCAGTTTTATGGATTTTTTAGGGATCCTGATCGATGATAAGCTTCGGCTTGGCGGAAGTTTCGGTTCCACGACTACAGAGAGGCTCGGAGGACCGCATTGCAATTCGGTCTCGAGGCTCTGTTCTGAGAGAACTCGTTCAAAGGATCGCGACATCGTGGCTACCGCTTTGGAGGCTAGGAAAGAGTCGAGTATGAAAACTCGGTCACATGTCACATCCTCGAATGAGACGAGTCGAGCAAGAAGCTCTCATATTCAATTTCCCAGAAATACTGCTTCCGACTTCCCGAATCCGGTTGTCCCGGAGGGAAGCCCCCGAGAGGAGATCTCCCTATGGTGTCCCAACTCCCCTCAGAAATCCGAGGAGACCTTCGTCGGGGAGAATCCGGGACGAGAGGATTGGATTTTCCCCTCGGCGTTCGAGGATCTTGACGCTTGCTATGTTTTAGTATAGCTCTATGCTAAGCCAATGTCGTAACGGATATTATACGCAAGGCCGAGTTCAACTTGAGCCGTGGTGCGATTGTCCTTCGAAAATGAGGAATCCCATCATCATCGCGTCTTTCTTAGTTCCGCAGTCTACGCCATTCCTCAATGGAATGAACAGAGAGATTCATCGAACTCTAATTGATATCGCACCTCGGGGCTGGAAAGGCTCTCTCCTCGAATCTTTCGGCTCTTTGAATAGAACAAATACGACATAGCAGAATCTAAATTGGTTTCCTGATCTGAAGGTGATAGCTCGTGTCAGGCTTAGAAGATCTTGAATGGATTTACCTCTTCTCACCTAAGCTATCTCTCAATGACGTCGGTGCCGACAATGATGATTATGAAACAACCTCATTGTCAACAAGACAAAAAGTGAAAACAAACAAACAGTGGGGGATACAAAATCCTCTGCGGGACACTTATCGCGTTGTGGTCTATCAGGTACCTAGCTGCTTGTGTTCGGTCCATATTCTATGGTTGCTTGAGCCGACTTTCAAGTCGTACGTCGTGGCGCTGAATAGATTCGAAAAACACTTTCTTGGAAACTGTGGCGTAATCGCGTAGCTCTCGTATCCGACGCTGCCGGGCGGCTGTTGTTGTGGATTCACCTCAATCAGACATGGCACTCGTGATTCAAAGGATGAATACATTACTGACAAGCCGGCTTCCCGCGCTTCAAAGAAAAAGGCGTTATAATTTATTTAGTTCGCGAATCTTCGCGGCTTGTTTCAAGTAAAGTAGGATGCTACCGAAGTTTCCACTGGCATCCGAAATGCGATTACTCCACAGGAAGACGGGATCGGAACGCTTTCGCATTCGCTCTGCCGGACTGCGCTTCGAAGGACGAAACATATTTGAGGAGTCGAGAACTTCGAGACGAGCTCGATGAATCGCCGCCTGAAACAGCTGAGCTCCCTGTGCCCGTGCGCTTCCCTACGGGAAAAGATAGATCCGACGAAGCCAGATCAGGAGCGACGCCCTTCGGTTGCCTGCCACAAAGCCCTGTTCACCATTATCGCTTCGTCCATCAGACAGAAGAACTGATGATACATTGCACGTAGGGAGGATTCATGGGCCTGATAACCAATGAACCGGATCCCTCCTTGTCCGAAGGTCGGAGACCCGCATTCACCCTTGACGACTCCCGCGCTGGGGACGAAGTATCAGCGAAGCAGCTTGTGTGGAAAAATGGATTGAAGTGAAACCTGTCTAATAGGAAATGGGACCAGCCACGGTGCACCAGAAGAGCGGTCCGATAAGTAAGGTGGTCCCATTTAGCGGGTCGTCTGACATGAATCGAGTCGGTCCCGCCAATGTGTTGTCCGATTACTCAGGTTTACCTTAGGTGGTCCCATTAGACGGTGGTCCCAATAGACAGGTTTTACTGAATTATTATAGAAGGATTAGAATGAAACTTTTTAGCCGAGAAACATCCCGCCGCTCCCCGCTTCGCCAAGGCGAGTGCTACCTCAGTTTGCAGTTGAGGCAAGGGGACGACAATCTTGTCGGTGCGTCGGAGTTCTGTGATCTATAAAATGTTCAGCAGTCCTGGACCGAAATAGCTTCAGGAGTGCTGCCCTCACACGTGATCCCCTCTCTACCAATCTGACGGCTCCTGTTACAGGAGATGGCGTTTGGGAACTCTCAGCCCTCAGCCGAATCGGATCGAAACGAAATATATCCCAGACTGGAGGAAAGCTCGGAATAGCATTCTGATCTAAAATCGGATAACCCCTTTCGCTTTCGTCAATGATGAAAAGGCGTCAGACGTTCCCCCTTCCCCCTCTCCGATGAGCACAAACGGCGGATTGGAGTGCATGGCGAATCCATGATCAAATGATCTTTTTATCTCCTTGACCCTCTATCCCGGAATTGTAGAAGACGCACTGCGAAAATTCCGCTCCGTCTTCCCCCTGAAAGTCAATGTCGGAATCCTTCTCTGGACGTAGGCTTCACGCAGTGACTTGCGCCAGCTGAACCGATGGATCTTGAGATATTGAAAGGCCGAACGCATTTGTCCTAAGATCACAAGCTCGGTGCAATTAACCTTCCATCAGGGGTTGAGAAAGATACTCCACAGAAAAGAATTTCGCTCTCCCTAATTTCTGACGGCAACTGTCTCCGAACGAAATTAATTGTTCAATGCGTTTCAATGACGTCCGCTCCGCTGCTCGCTCCCTCCTTGAGGCGCCGCCGCTCGGAGCTGCGGGTGGACCGATGGTAGGTAACGGTCACACTTTCTCCGTCGACAGCTTCGAAGGAGTTGCTGCGCTGCCGTCGCCACTACCATTGCCATTGTTTCACGGAATGAAGACGACTGACCAGCCTCTGTCACTGTCGTCTGTCATTCCGTGAGGGGGCTTCATCACTATAAATAATCAAGTTCATCACTTCTCTTCCCTTCGACCAGATAAGCCGCATGCCCTCCCGCGCGGACAATACACAAACGGCTGACATGAGGACGAACAGACCGAAGCGAAGACGAGCGAGGCGAAGATGGTCGGCTCGACAGCGACCGACCGACGTACAGACAGATTGTCGAGAAAACTGCGCTGGTGACGGGTTGTTACATCAAAGAAAAAGAGAAGAGCCTCTCTTGTCTCCTGACCAGTCTTGACCAGTCTTCCCACTGGGAGACAAAGCCTTATTCACGCCGCAATGCCCCGACGGTCGCCCCGGCCGGCTTTCTTGATTCATCGGGTGTTTGCATGAATTTTGCCGCGGCGAGACCTACAGGGGCGGCCATGAGGCAATAAGTTGCCGCCCTCGCCTCTCGAGGCTTCTATATAAGCTAGCGATATGCAGTGGCACATGGATTCTTGAACCCGTCGCTAAACATGCAATACTCGTCGCCGTCGTTGTTGCGTTTTTTCATCGTCTTGTCATCGAGTCTCGTTGTGGCTGTAAATTCTCAAACGTGCCATCTGAGGGAGCTCGACATCTGCGCCGTGTCATCGGTGGCTTTCAACAAAGTAGCTACAACCGAGAATGAGATCGACCGCTACTGTAATCTCTTCGATGACGCCAAGGAGTGCTTCTTCAACTACACCAGGAAGTGCATGACTCCGCTGCATCGGGAACTTCTCAACTTCGGTATCGAGGGAGCGAAGGAACTCAGCGCCAAGTTCTGTAAGCGAGGCGATAGGCTCCGAAGCGACTACCTCAAGCACGCGCCCTGTATCGCTCGCGCTATGCCCGAAGGTAAGAAATGCCTCCAGGACGCTCGGACCGGCTTCGAGAGAATCGAGGAGGCCAAGTTCCAGGATAGGATCTCCACGGCTTGCTGCACATACATGAGATATCAGAACTGTCTCACGGACGCCGTCGAGAAACGCTGCGGAGAGAGAGCCGTCCAATATGGTCATATTCTGCTGCGAATGGCGTCATCGAACCTCATCGACATCATGTGTCAAGGATACGACACAAATCCTGTCTGTAAGAGGCTTCTGCCACCATCCGGGACCAGGCCAAGAGGAAATTCGAAATCCGTTGTGAGCAAGCTCTTCGCCGCCTACGTAGGCCTCTAAACAATGTGATCTCTGACAAGCGAGCGGAGGCGGCTTACGGAGGGTTCAAATCCCAAACATCTGACTTTCTCTCGTGGAGCTCACGCGGATCGAAGCAAGGGTATTACATGGCGTATGCGTTCTTCACTCGGCGGAACTCCGATGGACAGACTTTTCCGTCGGTGCCTTCTCCCTGAATCGAGAAATGATTGAGCCGCTTACCGATATTCGGGAGGTCAGAAAGAGCTGTCTGATTCGGCCACCGGCGCCTGTGACTGCTCCAAATGCTCCGCAGAGAGCCCACGCAATGGAAATTTCAGGTACCGCACGTGTTGTCGTTTTTTGGAGCTTCCACCGTACGTAAAGTGTTTCTTCCCTCTTTATCGTTGTCGATGTTGAACGTCGTTCGATTATGCGGGCTTATTTCCAGACGAGTAGGTTTAGGTTGTAAAAGATTTCGAATTGTTTCCTCCCCCACGATAATTAGAGATGTGCACATTTCTTCTCCGGACACAACCATGGAGCATTTCGCGATGGACTCATACATAGCGTATACGAGGCGATATACGAGGTATTTAATAAAAAAATTAATGAAAATATCGATGCATCACTTCCGATACCTGGTGGCTGAGGGACTCATCGAGATCTTGTTGCTCTAGCATCAGAATCACCAGATTTTTTTGTCGTGCCGTTCCGAGAATGACGAGATTTGGATCCGCGACCTGAATCGTCCAAGTATTCGGGTTTCAGCACCTCCAATCATTTATCCTCGAATTGTCTGATTGAACGCGCCTAACATGGACGTCCGAACTGTTGATGTGAGAACGGAGGAAATTCCGATGTGTTGGGCAGCACAAAACTTGGAAGTGCTTAAAAGTTCCCAGGAGGTACGTCGGAGTCTTTTGAGGGTTCGCGATTGCCCCCGTCAGGTCGCAGCTCTAATCGATATTCGGAGACACAGCCTTCACCCCGATGAGCACCCAGAGGGTGCTACTGTGGTATCCCTTCGCTCAGACAAAGATTTTGATTCCGCGCAAGTGGTCGAAAGGATGCAGGAATGATTTGATGATGAGGATGGGTGAAACAGTTTTATTCTTCCCGAAGGCTACATCCACAGGAGCCGCAACCATTTTTTCACTTGTCTGTTGGATCATTCCGCGCCAGCAAAGGGATTCCCGAAGAGTCTTGGAGCGCGATAATTCCCTCAAGGACCGATGAAGGCGCGTGTGCCAATCGGGTGGGCTGCGTAGATTGTTGGACGCTAATCCCTTGCTACTGGAAAATGAGATATTGGCCGAGGCCAGGAATCGGTGTTCTAGAATCGCGTATCGGCCCCTGCGGATGGGAAAGCGACTCTCAGCTCTCAGGATCAATACATAGTCTCATGATGAGGGTGAAGGTGAACGCCATCAAAGCTCTCTCAAGTAGATATCAGAGCTCGTTGCTAATTTAGCTCGACAACGACGAGTCGCTGTGGTAAGTGAAGAGTGCTGGCCGTAGCCGAACAGCTGAGGCGTTGTCTGGGTCAGCGCGGGTTAAGTCTCTCTTACAGCAGTCTGGTAGACAGACTTCATCGGTCTCTCTTTCCAGCCGCCTGACTCGGTTGTGTAAGCGGGTCACTCAGGCCCAGGCCGTCACCGACTCGTCCCTTCTCTCCTCTTTTGTTGACTACATCAAGCAGGGAACAGAGCGAAGATATTCACGTACTTCTCCTCTCGGCTGAGGTAGTTGAGATCTCGACCGCTCCCTCGCTGAGCGAGATCTCCCTGGTGTTCTTCGTCCGCTGGTGTCGAGGCGATACGTTCCTCAGCGAAGACCAGCCAATCATTCCGTCTGGGCAAAACCTCGTGAGATATACACTCACCATGCTGTGGTATTGCGTGCTCGCACTTTGTGTCGTGTGTAGAGCCGTTGCCAGCTTCTATGTTTCTTCGAAACAAGTGAAGACGAATTGAAACATCCTAGTTATCGCAAGTGACCCTGGAGACGTTCTGCCGTATCTTGGAGCCTTCAGATCGTCGCGGAGGAAGTAGAGGCCGTTCGAGTCGGGGGAATGCTTCAGTATTGAGCTTCATTTGAGGTCGACTTTCGCGACGGCGATCGCTATGAATTCCGGTCGTCAACCGCTGCAGCTAGCCTTGACGCTGCTTTTGTGCTCAAGAATCGCGACGGCAGCCGAAGTCGTCAAGATAGGTGAGAACTGAATCCTTCTTTCGCGCGGAGACCAGTGATCGCTCTACGAGCACTCAATCAGATTGCTCCTATGAAACCTACATCATTTATGTTTTGACCGGCAATGAAAATAGATGTTAATAATGCGGTTTCTGGTTTTTGTTTACGCGCACGGTCTTGAAACTCTAGCTTTCCGATGCCTTCAGGTGGCATTTTCGATCAAGAGGATGATCGTCTGGCAAAAGCCTTCTCCTTGGCTGTGGATAGAGTGAACCGGGATATGGGGGATCTAGAGTCGGCGACGTTCCGCGCAAAAATCGCAAGAGTTCTTCCCAAAGACAATTTGGCTGCTTCGAGACACGGTAATTACTTGAGCCCATCGTGGAAACCTATACATGAGCACCAATATATCGTTTGACCGGAGGAAAAGATGGTATACCCCTTGTTCGCCTTTTTTGATGATGAAATCCGTGCTGCCTCCACAGTGTGCGACATGCTCCGGGAGAAAGTGGTCGCATTCGTTGGACCCACTTCCGACAGCGTCAAAGAATACTTGAAGTCCGTGGCAGCAACTTTCAACATTCCTCACTTCAGTACGGACTTCGAGATTCTCGAGCGTAGAGCGCCTTACACGCTATCGCTCCATCCGGACCTGCAATCCTTGAGTAGACTCTTGCGAGACATCGTCGAAGACAAAAAATGGCGGAAAATCGCGGTAATCTACGATTCAGACGACGGTAATTCATGAGTTCCTCACCGAAAAAATATTGGAATGCCGAATAAGGTGAAGGATCCGAACACTCTGGACCCCACCTTATGGTCGATATGGCTTATGGTCGAATCTAATGGGTGCGCTACGAAACTTCTGCTAATCCCGTGATCTATCCCGAAATTCGCAGTGCTCATCATCCTCAAAGACGTGCTCACATACGGTTTCAATCAGAGCCTGGCTGACGTTCTCCTCTATCCATTCGACGAGGAATTGAGTTTCGAAAAAATGCTGAAGGACATTGGATCACAGCAGCACTATAACCTCATTGTAGGTTTGCAGCCCGAAAGAGCTAAGCAGTTGCTCTTGGCGAGTCAGGGGCTCCACAGCAGCTTCTACAACGCGTACCTCATCTTAGACTTGGTGAGTTCGATCGATCCGATCCGAGAGAGGACTCCGGATTCTTTAATCACCATGTACCTCGCGCTTGTCACTGCGAGCATAATTCAGATTGAGTTCATTCCTCAAGGACTTCCACGCCGTAAGCATGAGCGGAGCACGGATGGAGAATTATTTCGCTAACGTCACCTTGATTCGCCTGGCCGATCCACATAGAGAAGACGTCAAAGCTCAGCAAAGTCAAAAGACAGCGGCGCCGTACGCAAACGCCCCAGGTTTGCACTTGTCTCTCTGGAAGCCGACACCGAATCCTTTTGACGAGCTCGAAATTTCACATTTCAGCGTGAGTATTACAGAGAGCAGGGCAGGTCCATGCTTTTCGTAAGCATAAGCCATCCCGACGCGAATCCATTTTACCTCTTCTCCACAGACAGAGGAGGCCCTGATCTACGACGCAGTGACCTTGATAGCCCACAGCGTACTGAGCCTGCTCCGCATGAACGCGATCAGTTTCCAAAAAGTGAACTGCAATAAAACCGGCAGTCGCTGGGATTACGGTCAAGCGTTGCTGGACAACTTGAAGGAGGTAATTTGGCTTCTGGGAAGAAATCGGCGATCCGCGTTCCCGACAGCCATTCACGAGAATTTACCATACAAATTCACCCAGGTGACTGTTCGGGGACTGACGGGTGATGTGCGCCTCGATAGGAGCGGGAAGCGGGACGCGTTCTCCTTCGACATTCTTGAGATCAACAGAACGTCCGAAGTTTGGGCTTACAGGAAATCTGTTGTCTGGGAACCGCGTTCAGGTTTGATCAAGCGCAAAGGGGAAGAGGTTGAGGTGGACAAGGAATTCTCCGTCGATGGAATGGTTCTGCGCGTCGTTACAGCGCCGGTGAGTCTGTCGAACACCGAAGTCGGCGTCAATCTCCCATGAGGAGCATGCGAGCCTTGTCGAAAAGGCGCTATTCCACGGGAAGAATCTCTCTATTCCAGAATGAGCCGTACACAATCATTGACGAAACCAAAACGGGGCAGGACAGGTTTAGCGGCTACGCGATCGACCTGATAAAAATGTTAGCCGAACGAGCGAATTTCACACCGGAGTTCTACATCGTCGCCGATGGCGCCTACGGTTCCCACCAAGGCAACGGTGTTTGGAACGGACTCATCGGAGACCTCATGAAACATGTTAGCTCGTGCTCTCGAGTTACCGTTCAATCGATTCCATTTGGAGAATTGAATACTTCGCATCAGGACCGAAAATATCTCTACTTGATTTGTATCGACAGACCGCCGACATCGCAATCGTGGATCTGACGACGACTGCCGAACGTGAAAGCGTCGTGGATTTCACAACTCCATTCATGAGCACCGGGATCAGCATCTTGTTCCGAATCCCCGAAATGCAGCCACCGTCGCTCTTCTCTTTCATGCATCCATTTTCGATCGTGGTTTGGTTCTACACTCTGACAACCTATATCCTCATCACTCTCGGGACCTACATGTTGGGTCGCTTCACCCCGTACGAATGGGTCCCATCGCATCCGTGCGATCCGGATTCTGAGCCCGAAAACCAGTTCAGCACGCTCAACAACTGTTTCTGGTTCACCATGGGAAGCATTATGCAGCAAGGGTCCGACCTTGTGCCTCGGTGAGGCCAGCCAGCACTCTCGCTAGCTCGAACACGAAATCGACGATCTTCGGAAATGATGCTCGCTCCGAATCAATACGGCACTTGTCCACTCAGAGTTTCCCATTACGATTTTAGAGCTGTCTCCACCAGAACCCTCGCTTCGCTGTGGTACTTCTTCTGCCTGATCTTGATCTCTTCCTACACCGCCAACTTGGCCGCTTTCCTCACAGCGGCGAGAATGTCAAATCCAATTGAGAGTGCGAACGATTTGGCGAAACAGACGGACATCGCATATGGAGCGAAGGATGGCGGTTCGACCCAAAGATTTTTCCAGGTACTACTCTCTTCTGGATAAATTCCGTCACGTCCTCAATCATTTGAGATGCAGAGGACTGGGATGAGACGAGACGTTCTGACCCAATCGACCATCTTTGGCCGCAGAACAGCAACAACAGTGTGTACAAGCGGATGTGGGCCTATATGGAGTCGACGAAACCCTCGGTTTTCCCCAAGGACAACGATGAAGGCATTCAGAGAGTTCTCAAGGGAAAGTATGCGTACTTGATGGAGGCCACTTCGATTGAGTATCTTGTGGAGCGCAACTGTAATTTGACCCAGGTTGGCGGTTTGCTCGACAATAAGGGTTATGGCATCGCAACCCCCCAAGGTGAATTACCGGACGGGGAACATTCCCCGAGCGGATTTGTCTGCACGGTCATTTCGGAGATTTTTTCCCGTCAGAATCGTATTTCCCCAACGAGATGGATCATTCCAGGGTCTCCGGTTCGAAATATCTTGGAGCATCATCTGATCATCATGCAAGAATTCGGTGTTCTCCAAGAGCTCAAGCAGCTATGGTGGAAAGCTCCGGAGAATCCTTGCGTGAGGAGCAAAGACGACTCGGCTGAAATGACCATGGACTCTCTCGGAGGCGTCTTCTTGACTCTCGTGGTCGGGGTTCTCTTCGGTCTGCTGGTCGGCATTTTCGAGTTTTGGTGGGACAAATCGCAGGCACCATACGGCGAACGAGTGAGTTAAATCAATCTCCAATCTTTCCGCAAATGGTACCTTTCGGGCTCATCTTTCGAAGGAGGTGTCGGCCACCGCATTCGGTTCGGGCCCCCCGACTCCGGATCTCCCTAAGGCGGATAAACATACGTACTTTTCAGCAACACATACTTGTCGAATTCTTCCGGGAGTTCATGATGGTCATCACCTGCACTGGATCTCGACCCAATCCCGAAAACGAGGGGAGCTCGGAAGCGGACGATGTGTCGAAAAAGTCTTCCCCTTAATCACCGCATTCGTTGACCGATCTTCAGCTGATCCAACGGAAGACTTCGTCGAATCTGGCGCTCATTTCGAGAGGAAATGCTCCTTGGATCGCAGTTCTCATCTTATTCGTCATTCGGGATGTCGGGAAACAGTCAGCGTAGTAATCATTCAGGAGAGACACACAGCGGATCTTTTTCATACGAAAACGTCATAGAAGACAAGCATAGATCGTCATCCTATATATTATATATAATCTATACATATATGAACATTATCTGATTTTTTTGACAGTTCTGTAAATACATTCTGGTCAGAGAAAATACAATTGTTCGGTTGTGAAAGGCCAAGGGAGCTGATTCCTCGAATCAGACTGACTCACTCAGTCATTTACATTTTTCGAATGGCACTCGGCATTGGTTCATTGTCAAGGCGACTTTCTTAAGCTTCGTCGCCAGTCATTGCTTCATTGTCGACCACAGAAGCATCGAAACTAACCGACCTTGCACCTTTATGGCGTCTGGGAGTTTTTGGACTGACCAAAATCGGAACGATCTGATTCTCTTTCGGTTTCCGCCGAGTCTTGTGCTGGGCTCTCTCTTGCAAGCTCAAGATTAGCCTTTCTTGACTTGTCACTTTCCTCATTAGAGCCTCGATGGCCTGAGTGTTCTCGGGTCCGACGTTAAGGCCAGCTTTCAATCGATCGGTCAGGGCGTATTTCTCCTTCTCGAGGCGCAGAATCTGTGGGAAGAATCACAGCCATGATGTTATATTTCTCGAGATTCCGTCTCTGCAGGTGATCTCCATAGTCTATGCTCATACAGTCGGACCCGCTTATAAGAGATGCTTTTATAAGAGACAGCTTCTATTCCCCGGTTTCCGAGCCCATCGACTCCCGTGATAAAAAAATCGCATATAGGAGACTTGAAAACTCGCTCATACCAGCAACTCGCTCATAAGAGACTCGTCACGATTCCCCTCCTCATAGGATTCCATGTTGAAGGATTCGCTTTCAAGAGACAGGTCGGGGAACTTTCACTATGAAACGATTTTTCCCCGATTCCGACTACTTGTTAGGCCTTCTAGACGCGCCTTAGGCCAACGTATGCGGGCCCGTGAAGAAAAATTCATCATTTCCAACCATTTCTACGCGATTGGGCGCTTCCGCGCATAAGAGAATCTCGCATATAAGAGACTTTTTACGGTTCCCCGAGGTGTCTCTTATAAGCGGGTCCGACCGTATATCCCGCTTCCGTCCAGGTTGTCACGAAAGCGTCATCTTAGACATCGCAGCTCATAGTTTCATGGGTTTCGATTGCGTCCAATCATTCCCTCGATGATTGTCGAATGTCTGCGATTTGTTTGACTCAGGAATATCGGCATATTGACGTAACTCGCGTTTGAGCCAGTCTGTCGGCGAATGTAGTGCAACTTCAGAGCTCGAGAATCTCGCTGGCATTACCATAGAGCAGATCTCGATTCAATGTCTTAGTTTCTTAGTATGTGAGCCAAGGCTTTTTGAATCCCAAGCAAGATCCGCGAGTGATTCGCAATTACTGCGAGTGCGGAAGCAGAATAACGTGCCGGTTCTCCCCCCCTCCTCCCCCGCGTGCGCCCCCGTCCACGGGAGCTCGTCCAGAAGTTTTCCCTTGAACCAATTCCGCGACAAGTGACGTTCTTATAGGCTTCATCCGAAGAAACGAGATTAATTCCGACCGTGCCTCACCTGATTCTTGAGAGCGTTTCGAGCGGACTCGAGCTGCTCTATTGCGGTGGATTTCGTTTTCAATTGCTCTCTGAAGGTTTCGACTAAAGTTTGCCATTTTTTCGATTCTTCCCACCGAGCGACCTCGATGCTCTGCTTGATGTGTTTTACCGCGTCTTCGGACGGCTTCTCCGACTGCTGTTGTTTCAAGTCCGAGAGTTGTCTCCGAAGACTATCGACTTCATCTTCGAGGATCTTCATTCGTTTCGGGTCGGCGCGTTTAAGCTTCTGTATCTTCCTCAGCTGCTCAATTTTAGTGTTCTGCTGTTCGATCTCAGATTCGAGAGCGCATATTCTCTCTTTGGCCGCTTCATTGGCTCGTTTGAGCTTCGCTGCTCGATCCTCTGCCACCTCGAGTTTTCCCCGGAGGTCTTCGACGAGTTTCTTGCTCTCGGTTTCCTCCTCGTCCGACTCTTCGCTCGGCTGTGGATCTTCGCGCGAAACAACTTCAGGTGTCGTGACGATTTCCGGCATCGAGACGGTCACCTGAGTAGATCTCTCAGCAGCACGCAGTTTCTCCCTCAACTCGTGGATGTTCTCATTCAGAGAAGCGTTCGTGCCTCTGATTTGATCGAATTGGTTCTGGAGGAAGATCTCATTACTCTGGGAGGCTTTGAGCTTGTTCTGCAGCTGCAGAATTGCCACCTGCTTCTCGGCCAGGATTTTTTCGAATGTAGTCTGATCGGTGACGGCGTCGTCATTCAGTGCTAGTTTCTTCTGTTGTTGGAAAGCTCTCATCGTGATTTCGGCAATCTGCTTCTTCGCCAGGTACATATCTTTCATATGCTTCCTCTCTAGCTCCTGGACGTCCGAATTACGTTTCACCTTAGTTGATATCAGATCCTGTTTGAGGTCCGTGACGAGTTGGCGGTACCTTTCGAGGGTCTGCTCCTTGTGACCAAGGAGTTTCTTCGTAGTATCCAAGGATATCTCCATCACCTTTAACTTCTGCTCGAGGTTACCATGGGTGATATGCTGCTTATTCACCTCCCTGAGCATTGTTTCTTTGAGTCTGAGCGCGTCTTGGGTCCGTCTCAGAATGTACTTGGCATCGGCGAGCTCAGTGCAGAGCTTTCGGTTGTAGTCTCTCAGCGAATCCATCCTTTTATAGAAACTTTGACACATACTCCGCTCTGATTCAGTTTGAGATTCCTCCTCCATACTGCTATCGATGTCGGAATCGTTGCTCCTGTTCTGTTCCCTCCCTTTGTTCTGGTCGGAGGCTGGTAACTCTCTGGCCACTGGAACATTCTGATGAGTTTGCTCGTACAGTCGCAGTAATTCATTTTGACGTTCCGTAGCGAGCCTCTGTGATTTCAGGTACTGCTGACTAAGCGACTCAACCTGCATCCCAAGTTTTTCGATGAGAAACATGTTCTCTGTTTGATCTTCATGTGCGATCGATTTGGCATCGAACGCGTCTGGGTTCTCGTTGAGTATGTTGTTCTTCATGTGAACGATGTCCTCGTTTAATAATTTGATCTGATGCTTGAGCTCGGCGACGTAATCGAAGCTGATCGTGTAAGAGAGTTCGGGCTGCGCGAGTCGTGCGTCACTTTTCAGGGCTTTGACTTGTCGACTATACATTTCCTGAATACAATCTATGTATTCCATTTGCTCTGCTACTACCCCCGAGTACGTCGAGATGATCGCGTTCTGTTTCAACAGCTGTTGTTGCGCCGAAACAAACATCTTGGAGAGCAGTTGATCCGAACTATCGCGCGTGAGCGACTCCCTCAACGACCCAATATCGCGCACCAAGGAGTGATTCTCCTCCAAGATGTCCCTGACGAACTCTTTCAACATCCTAAAGTCGATGGGAAGCTCCGAGAGCCAATCGATGTTCTCTTTGCGAGCTCTCCTCACTTTCGCAGAAGAGACTCGCGGTTTTTTCGCAAGCTTCGAACGAGGTCTCAGCTCCACCTTAGGGGGGCTTCCGGATGGGTTTTCACTCATGTTTTCCGCATTCGCAGACGCTCTCCGGCGCTTGGACGGTGATGTCGGATCCTTAGCTCGAGTTTCCGGATGGTCTTCTTTCAGCTTGTCGGATCTGTGCTGATTGATCGTCTGCAGTGACTCGAGTACGTAGATGAGGAATTCTTTCAGCTGCTGATTCTCGGAAATCATTTCAGTATTGTGCGCTGTCTCGTCCGCCGATTTTCCGTCCGCGACTTCTCGTCTCTTCTCCGACGGTGTGCGCGATATCTGACATCGGTCGAAGTTATCTTCGTCGAAACTTCTGCTAATGTCTTGCTCGTTGGATCTGGTCTGCATATCCGAGCTATTATCCCAACCTGCTGACACCTCATGCACTTTATCGACTAAGTTCTTCTGTAAGTTTCGCAGACTTTGCTTGAGCTCGAGAATTTCCTCCTCGAGTGCGAGTATCGTTTTCTCCGCTTCGATACTATTCCGTCTGCTCGACGATGGCTTAGCCCGACTCGGTGGGATCCCTTGGCAGAGATTCTCATTCTCTGTCTTCAATCTTTCGATTTCAACATAACTTTCAGCCATCTGCTCTTGGAGCCTTAGGATGTTCTTATCGCGAGCTGCGATTTTCCGTTTGCAAACTCGGACCTCGGTCACGGCGTCTGAGAGACCATAAACACCTTGAATAGGAAATTAAGGCCATTAAGTTCGACATCACGTATCAACACATCCAATTTGCAGGGGATGAATTCGCTCGAGATACCTATCATGAATTCGGTATTTTGGGTATAACATGATGGTTATTATTCATCGTTGGCTTGATATAGTTCCTTTCACCATCAGCAACTCAGATCTGCATCAATTGCTCACCCATTTCGTATTTTTTTGCTATCAGCAAGGCTTCAGCTAGCTGCTCCTCCCTGTCCAAGAGTTGCTTCTCCAGTTGAGAGTTGTCTTCTTCGAGTTTCCTTAGAGAAGCTCTGAAGGCTTTCTCGTCGACACGATGATCGCCTTTGTCAGACAATTCACGTTTCAAATCTTCGATAAACCTCGCATTGTCTTCAATATCTTGAGTGGCTTGAGTCAAACTCCCAGCCAAGCTCTTTATCTGCTCGTCTTTTTCCGTTATTGCTCTCTTCAGAATATTCAGGGTCAACGTGTTCGAGGAAGACAATACGGTCTCCAGCTCTCGTTCGAGCTGCACACATTTGGACTCTAGTTGATGGATTTGGCAGTTTTTGGACTCGAGGATTTCCCGCCATGTTTCGAGACGGTCACTGGAAGTATTTTTCGAATCTGCACTCGAGTTGTTCCTGATCATGTCGGGCGGCTGTAGAGCTTCGAGTTCATTAATTTTGTCCATGTACTCATCGACCAGTCCTTCGAGAGTCGCGATTTCTCGTCTGTTTTGCTCACCTTGCGACGTGAGCGTTTGTCGAACCCGCTGAAGCTCTTCTATGAGATCGGCTGACTGATCGATTTCTACCGTAGCATCCCGGAGTTTCGCTCCGAGCTGTTCGATAGTGCTTCGTAGGTCTTCGTTCACATTTTCTTCCTCTTGTAGGGCGAGCATCAATTTCGTAATCTGGTCGTTCTTCTCCTTGAGTTTGGCAATATATTGCCGCTCTGTCACTTGGCTGGCGGCGTGGATTTCGTTTTTCTGCACGTCTTTAATTTTTTCGTCGAGTTCACTCTGAAGCGCGAGCACCTCAACCTGGAGTGACTTCCGGTCTCGGTCAGCGTCGGCATAGAGACTCTCAAGTCGCGTCAAGCTCTGTTTTTCTCGCCGCAAGCTTATCTGCAAATCCTCGATCTCGTCACGCAGTTTCTTCACTTGATCCTCACCCTCCAGATCGCCGCGTCGAGCGCGAGCCAAGTCTCTCCGCAGTCGCTCATTCTCTTGCGCTAACGTCGAGTTCTTCATGGTTGTTTCGAGCTCCTCAATCGCGGCCTCCGCCTGCATGGATTTCAACCTAATAATTTTCTGAGCCACACCGAAAGCTGTCTGGAGATCGCGCACTTCTCCAATCTCTTCGACACGGTCAACTTTGGCGAGTTCTTCGGCTGCATCTTCGATCTGCTGCAGTTCTGATTCGTCGGCCTGCTCGACATTCAACTCTGGCCTCACGGCTCGAAGCAAACTCCAATTTAGTACAGTCATTATTCCAAGTTTGGCTCGCGATGCTCTTGCTCAACATTCGATAAGTTCTGTTTTGTGTCTTTCGCGATCTCTCGTATCCTAGCAACGGGCAGGAGGCATCAGACAGGCCCTCACGGTTCGAGCTCGCCGCGCCAAAAAGGCGAACCCCCATTAGTTTCTTTCAACTCACCGACTCTGTAGGGTCGTGCTCCCGCTCATTCTCGGAGAAGGCTTGGATGGATAGAGGCCGCGATAGAGGTTGAGAAAATCATGGTCGAAGTTAGTTTTTCACGTCTGCTTTTATTTACATCAATGTTAAGCATTTCACTTCTCAGGTGTGTTACAATTTCATTATGTACAGATTGCAAGTTTCCTCGGCTCTGGCTCCCGCCTTTAGAAGACGAAAACCTCGGACTCTCGAAGGAGCCGCAAGTGGGATGACGCCGCCAGCCTGAGCGATGCAAGGCTTTCCGACCCGTGAGATCCGGGTCTGCCCAAAGCAGTGCGGCCCGCATCTGTATTCGAACTCTTCACATCTAGGCGGTTTACTCGCGCCAGCTATGGTTGGGAATCCAGCATTTTCCTGAGATAATTTTTTTCGCTGGTGAAAATCCAGCCCTGGTAGTATACATCATTTGTCGGCGCAGGCGCGCTCGGGGCTTCTCAGGGTTGAGACGATGGATTCGTTATGTGGGTTTTCAGAGGCTTCTCCTCGAATCGAAAACTGATGCAATCTAAAATTGAAATTATTGCTAGAAAAATTATCCGTGACATCGATCTGTGACATCTCTAGACGGAATGATATCCCGTGTCCGAGAAGAGCAGAAGCGCGGATTCGCTCCCGACTCGAGACCACTCACCGATGCGGATGACTTTCCTCCTCATCGTGAATCAAAAACGCTATCGCACGGCGCATCGATACCTTTCGTGTGTTGCTGCAGAGTGGCTAGGGGCAGTCTGCAAAAGAAGCATCGATTAGACGAGTCAATCTGAGGGAGAGTTTCAACTGATTCCGTGCGATCGAGAGTGGTACAGCGCCCAGCTCCATCCAAAGGATGGCTCGACAGAGATAGATGAGTTCAGAAATAGTCGAGAATTACCTTGGTGAGTTTGAGGTTGAGTTCCGTCTCACAGCTTCGTAGTCGGTTTCGCAAAGTATCCGGTTTTCGTGGAGAAAGAATCGATCCCCGACGCAAAATCTGCTCGGAAAGGAGGAAGTCTGTTTCTATGACTGCTAATATATGTATGTTTCTGCCGCGAAAACTCGAGGGACCCGTCGGAACCCACGTTGCGAGAGTCCGAGGGTAGAGTTTTAGTTCAGACCCTGATCGAGAGTCGGAGTCATGCGTCGGCGACTCTGCGAGGCTCGCGTTTGTCCCTGCTATGTGTTTCTGCCACAATGAAACACAAGCTCTGTTTCTTAACAACCCGCTGCAGCCCTAATGAGAATGACAATTTCTGCAGCGTATTGTGAAGTCACTCGACGAGCCCGCGGACTAACAGACGAGTGGACAGATGATTCAGGGTCTGGCTGACACACGGACGAATCTCAGAGGCGAGCTTTATAAAGAGAAGGCTTTCTCTGGGAGGCCTGCAGAGACTGCCCTGTTCGAGCGGAATTCCCGAACTTAACAAGGCTCTAATGAGTGCTCCTCGTAATTAATAATGTCGCAGATAATTATAGTGGCGAGAGCTTGGCCACCGAAGACCATGTCGTGAAGCTAAGCGACCGACCCATCGGTAGCCAGCTCCCGACAGATTATTGATATTTTGAATTCGGAAGCGCCAGAGACACTGTTCAAAATAGTCGAACGTCACCAGGGCCAATCACCCCATCGCTCTAATCACGCCCTCTGATCCGACAGTTCCTGTCACCGCTCCGCGATTTCGATTTCAAATTATCCGGAAATCACCACGGAGTTTACAGACCTCAAATTGCACTGCTGACAGGCGAAACAATCTAAATGATAGACGTTCCCCTTTGCACGCATAACCATCTCGAACGCAGGAATTCCTTTCTCGCAGGCGCAACATAGTCCCGTCGTGCCGAACAACCTGTAAAATGGGATTCGGAGATTTCAGGACTCCAGCGGGCAAGAATCGTCCCGGCCGGGGGGAAATTTTCTGCGTCAACTCCCAGAATAATTTGTTCCTCGGATCGACCCGGGAAACTCTGAATTGGGATTCCATAGGTTCGTATATGTAATTCAACGTTCGGGTTCCCCAAGAGCGAGCAAGAGCCGTACCGAAGATAGTCTCTCTTGCAGAGAATGAGATTGCTCTTCGTGAATAAGGTACTTCCAACTTCTCCTAAACGGCATTCACAGCATGCGCACTTCAAACAGTCTTCGTGCCAGAACTGTTCTAGTGCTTTGAGTAGATATCTGAAACGGAATGGGAATCGATTAAGAGGGGTCTCGAGCTCCGCGAGAAGAAGGACTCCATCATAAGTTTCCGGGATCTCTACCTGCTATCTAGGCAAGAGATATAGTTTTGAAGGCACTCACCTCTCCCGAATGGGTTTCTGACAGCCAGTACAATGCAACTCGTCGCCTGCAATATTGAGGGCGAGCATCATTTCAACCATCTCCATTTCTCCATTTGAATTCGGGTGGTACGATGAAGACGGCGATTCCCGGTCTAACCTACCTTGCGAAGCTCCGACGACTCCGTTGCTCATCGTGGAGTTGGTCCAGCGACTGACAGTGAGCGCGTGGAAACTCCGCGGCTCCACGCGGGCTTCCATAGACTCGAAAGGATTGTGAGATGCGTTTTCGAAGCTTCGTTTCAATTCCTCAGGATCTACCCAATTAAATATTCCGCTCTCCCGAGAAGTTTCGACCCGAGTCACCGGGCGGGAAGATGCCTGACTCTTCTCGCCTGGGGATAGGAGAAAGGTTTGATTGAAATCTGAGTAAGCAGCCACGGCTTCAAGAGAGAAATGCTATGCAGGCATTCGTCGGCAAGGCTCGTTCGGAATGATTCGATACATAAATCTGAAGACGAAAAAAAGTTTCTGCTTTGAGTCGGAATAGATTCGATGACCTCGTCTTAGAATTCCTTCGGCCGGAGGTAGTAGTTAACGACAGAGAAACGCCCCTCATCTGGGGAGCAATGAGCCGGGATCGTCTTTGCCAAGCGCCAATCCGAATATTCAGAGGAGCTCGGCGATTCTCTGAACGATTTGATCAAGGTTAGTCTGGAGCCCGGCGGACTGAGTGGTTGCGTGGCGCTGGTGTATGTTCTCTTGTGAATAATTTGCGTACCGAGTCGCCTGGCCCGCCCGGGTGGGCTCGTCGCGTCTTAATGACGTCGAATGCACCAAGAGTCCCAATCTCAGGATGAGGAAAGGTTTCAAAATCTCTGCTAGATCAGACAGGCTCCGCGGCTCTTGGAACCGCTCCATCACACTCGAATCGATCCTCGGGTGAAACTAAATGATATCCATCGCGAAACGGCCACCTCGTTTTCTTTCCCCCGGAAGGAAGTTTGGATCCCCCAATGATCGGACTCCAATCATCGAGCTCCTGATAAGTTTCGAGGGTTGCCGAGTTGTCTCGCTAGTCCGAGGCTTTGTCCTCGGAAATGGTGAGATCCTCAGTTCCTCAAAAATAGGGGAACATGGATCTGCAATCGATCATGCCTATACACGATCCCTTGACATCTGATCAGGTAGTCCGTTTGAGCCGAGAACACAAATGAGTCTCGGGATCAGACATGTGCGCCCCGATCGGCACTACCTCCGGGCATCAGCGATACTTCTGTCCCGCATACTCGTTCAGCAATTTCCTCTCTCTGCACGGTCTTCTCCAGTCACTCAAAATATTCGATTCTCATGCTGGGGATTCGCCACAGAGCACTCCCGGAAGCAACGCTATACGAGGCTCCCGCGCACTCAGGGGAGAGGACCCCGAGTTATGGTCTGGGATAGCAAACGAATTATGAACAGGTTTCCGGGAAGATATCTAAGTGGGTCGGGACCATTAGTGATCGGCAGATCACTCAACGTTGTTGAAATCCACACCAGGGAGCGCTGTTTATTTTTCTCGCTCCTCGTGTCCTTCTCCTTCATATCGATGTCGATTCCTCGTCGTTTTCTTTTTCGCCATCGTCGTCTTCCGCGGCTTCCACTATCGTTGCCCGGCAAGAGAACGGACGAGAGAAGAACAAGAGAGCCGGGCTCGCACGACGATCCGATTGGATCGGTCTGTACGTACGTACGTTCGCTCGCCCGCCCGCTCGCGAACCCCGTTGCCTCCTAGGTCCCTCTCTCGGCTGATCCGATAGACGGACAGACGAGCGGACAGACGAACAGACAAAGCAATAAGAGTTCGTATTGAACGAATTGCTTCTCCTCGTCCGGCGGCGTCCGTACGTCCGCCCAAAGGTCCGTGCGTTCGTTTGTACGTCCGTCCGTTCGTCAGACCGACCGACGGCTAACTGGCTGGTCGGCCGGCCGGCCGGCTGATATATTGCAAATGCAGCCGCCGCTACTGCCGACAGCGTTATACTAGGCGCAACGGACAGGGAAAAAAATACCGCAAAACAGCTCTCGGGCACCATTTACGCGTCGGCCGATCCCGATGCCAATGTCAAGGGCCTGAGTCCAGCGAGTTTTTCTCCTGATAATTTTCCCCCACGGAACGAGAATAAAACCCTAATAACTCTAATAACTTCCGATGAAACTCTCCTCCCGTTCGCGTGGTCGAGCGGTACAGGTGATTCTCCCCGATGAGTTCGGGCTATTCGAATCAGCTCATGGGGCTCTGTGACGTGAATCAGTTCCCGCACGGAGATATCGTAAAAGCTCTCTCAGTCGAGATTGCGGAGGGGACGATGTCTTTCGATTTCGGAACGTTCCCCCGGCAATCCAGACATCCGCATGCTTAGAGCTCCCTTCGGCACGACGCACTTTCGAGGACCATATTGAGCGGCGGGCAATGCGGATCATAAATTAGTTCAGCGCACGCGTCCCCGATGATGAAGATCTCATCGAATTTCTCGGGAGCCGAATACGGCGAGGCTGGCGAGAGACTTGCGGAGCCGAGCTTTCCGAAGTGAACCGCAATCACTCGATGTCATTGGCAGCCGGCTCGGAGAGAGGAGACTTCATTAAGAAGCAAGCTGCAACCATCCGAGTGCCTCGCCGACTGACTCCTGCGGCTGGTGGGTAAGACCTGGACGAGAAGATACGTAGGTGCTTGCCGCGCCATGGAGGAGGCTTCTCATGGGGAAGGGGGATTCATCGGGACTCTGGTGTGCTCCTCAGAGGGGGTTGGGGAAAGAGCGATGGGGCGGGAGAGTCCCTGCTCGCCAAAGAGAACTTCTACGGGGATTGGGAGCGGAACGGGTCCAATTTGCTTCCGACGAACAGACGCCGGCCAATTAGGCCTAAATGCGACTGAACGCCGACGGGAAAAACCTTGCGTCGCTATTGGGAGCTCATTAGGCGGTAGTGTTTGTGTATGGTTGACGGCTGTGTCTGGCTTTCCCGCGCGTTCCATCCGACCCTCCTTCCATTCCTATTGTCGCCATTTGTCCCTCCAGTCATTTCATTTGTACAATGCACTCGATCGCCAGAGCGCTCCAACTTGCGCGCGGCAATGCTCCTCCGGTGAATCTTTCCCAACGGAGGATTGCACTTTTCCCACTCTGGTCTTCGATCACGAAGGAAAAATAACTTCGGAGATAAACTCGAGGAAGTTCCCAACTGGGGCTCGATGGAGATCTCGGCTCCCGGAACAGCTCGTCCGGTCGTTATCAAGGCAACGCTGGAAGTTCGAGCTTTGAAAGTTGATTTTTACTCATTTGCAAACTTTCTACTCACTTGGTTGTTATTTATCTTTGGTTGTGCCGCCATCGACGCCGCTGCCGTTCTCTCTCACCCGCTTATCGTCTCACTCGGTCCTCTTTCTCTTGCTGCCCCTCTCCTTTTTCTCGCTCTCCCGTTTTTTCTCTCTCTCTCTTCGTTAATTAGAAGTTTGATTATGAACATATTAATTGCGAAGCTTCAAGAACGAAAGCCTCTTCGTTTTTTCCCCTCCGCTCGCCGCTTCGTCATTCTCTTCAAAGAGCCCCACATTCGTTTTTTTCTTTCATCAAGTTTCCGTCGGTTTTCTCATAGTCCCTCGAATTCCTCGAGCTCTTTTAATTGCATGGTTTCATGCGCAGAATAAACGTCTCCTCGAAAATTCGCGATACTCCCGTTTCTCCTGCTTGCCGTGACGAATTTTTGCTGAAACGCAAGTGCTGTACTCGAAGGCTGTCCGCGGACGGGAATACTCTACGGTCTCCAGCTCGGCATCAATCAGCATCGCCGGAATGGATCATTAGCTACGCGGGCTGTGAAATCTGCTGGATTGTTTGCTGAATCTCCCGCAATTCCCGCCTCTATTTGAGTTGAATTTGTCATGAACTCTGTAGCGGGGGTAGGGCAGCAACAGCCGGCAAGCGGGCAGTCAGTCAGTCAGTCGAGTCATTGTATCGTCGTCGTCCTCTCTTGTTATTTTTCTACTCGTTGCTCGTTATCGGGCCGCAGTTGGAGGAGAACGAGGGCTAGCAACGAGGGGTGAGGAGGAGGAGAAGGACAACTAGGGAAATAAGTCGAGGGCACCATTGGGTTCGGATCCAAGCTGGCGGGAGAGGAGAGGAAGAGGATGATAGCAAAAGAGCAGCACTTTTTGTTCTGCTCGTTAGCGTAGTTGTTTGTAGCAGCTGCTGCTGCGGCAATGGTAGCGGTCGCCCGTCGATTGGTTCTCTCGCAGTTCCTCTAGCAACTTCTACTTTCTGTCAACAGTGGCAGTCCGGCCGTCCCCCTATTCATTCCGCTCTTTTCCCTCATTCTATCACCGCCTTAGATTTTTATGCAGTGTCAATCGGATGGAGGTAGCTACCAGTGTAGATTATAATCGTAAGGGATTCTTTTTCTCCGATCCCGCGAGGGCACCCGCCTCGCTGCTCCCCACAGACGGAAATTTCGCACCAGCGAGCTCCAGATTTGAATGCCACATTTGTCCGGTCTCGATTCGCGCCCCCGCCGGGGGTTGAACTCGCTGGGGTTTGAATCCGGACATTCTGCTCTATTCCTTCTAACGATACACCTGACAGAGCAACGTCGGGTATTCGAGACCGCGACTCGCTTCCGGCCACATCCGTAGTGGATTCGCTTATCTCTCTACTCTGGATCGCAGGTCCTGAAGATGCATGGGAGCAATTTCGGAATCGTTGCTCCCTCTGTGCCCCTCGCTGGTGTTGCTCTTGCTATTGGCGGAGTCGCCTTCCGTGGTGCCTCAAACTCAACACTATCTGCAAATAGTGAATGCTGAGCAGAGGCGGCGCTGCGATCCAGGCTAGACGAATCGACCGATACACAGACAGACCGACAAACCATCAGACGAAGCAAGCAGACAGACCGAGCGGGAGACCAACCGGCGGCCCGATCGACAGACGGACAGACAGACAGACGAGGAAGCCACTTAAGTAAATTGGGCCATCCTTCGCTGTTTCTCTCTCTCTCGCGAGCACTCCGTTGGTTGCCTGCCCGCCCGTCCGACCGTACGTCCCTCCGTTCGCTGTTTTTCTCCCGCAATCCCAAGCACTCAGAGTCTCTGTAACTCATCTCGAGTCTCTAGAGAAGAAGTGGAAAAAGGAAAGGGAGAGTGAAACTTCAATGCGGTGTGCGTCGCCGACGTTCCTCAAACATGGTCTCCTTTCTCGAAGCTCCGGCTGCGTTTCTGTCATGTCATTTTCTTTCATGTTACGAGCATTTCAATTTCCGCCTGCGAGCGGGCTCCAAGTTGCTGGCAATTTCTCCCCGGACAGGTTCCAGAGTCGAGAACGCTGCGCAGGCAGTGAAACCATAATCGGCTTCGGAGTCTCCTGCATCCCGCGTTCGGAATCGATCGCGACGAATATATCTTCCCTTGGTTCCTCCGCGGACGGGTCTCTGGTCGACAGGACGCTCCAATTCGCGAAATTCACTTTGTTTATTTAAGCCACGCGACATCCATTTATAGGCTTGCGAGAAAAGGCGAATCAGGGAGAGTTAGGTGATAGAAGCTCCGCGCTCCATGACAGATCTCAGGAGGAATTAGGTTGATCCCGAGCTCTGGATCTCTCGTGCCTCATTGCGGTATACGTATACGCGTCGACGTTGACCGGGGCTCAAATCCAGGCTTCGGTCATTATTGACGATTCCGGCTAGCGAGGACGATAAGGGCGAAGTGAGATGACCTTATCGAGCGGTGGAGCGCAGCATTCGTGCAATTCTGATTCCATATCTCCGATTGCAGCCATTTGTGCGGTGTGCCATAATTTCGTCATTGTGACACAATGTGTGGCGGCGTGCATGGATGGTGTGAGTGTGTCAGTTTGTGTATATTGGGTCTTTCTTAGCTGCTTAGCTGCCGTGCTCGGTTTGATCTCGTGGGTTCGACAATGCTCGGCCCTTTCTCAGGCCTGCTTCGGGAAAGCAAAGCTGTGAGTCCACCCGCCTATCGCCCATTCTACGAGCCGCTCTCTGTACTCCTGTGAGCCGTGCGCGTGAGCGAGCGACCGATCTACCTGGCTGGCAGGATCGCCTGAATTGGCTGAATGGCCACCAGCCCGAGTCCCATAGCCGTCGTAGCTGCTGCAATCCAAACACACTCACTCGCAGATGCTGTCACTTCGTGCTAGCATTGGTTTGGTATTCCCACACGGAGCAAAGCACGGAACAAGAACGATGCTCACTCAGTAAGCCTCGTTCAGGAGGGGAGCATGGTGGGCTCTGTGTCTATGATGCATAGAGCATCAGCTCCGACGCTGAAGTCAATCGGAATTCGATTCGGATCGCTTTACGGGGGAAATCGGGGGAGGGAGACGCCATCGCTGGTCTTGTTATCATTTGGGACGAAACTGAGCTTTCTACGACGGAACCCATGAGGCCCGGCTTCGTGAAATCATTCCGTCGGATCCGGAAGATGTTTATCGAGATCGAGACGGATCGACACTCAGAGAAGATCATCGTGTGAGCTGAACGAAAAGTTCCTTAGTTGCCGCGGAATTCGAGGTTCTCCACGGCCAATGATGGATTCCTCTTGTTCTATCGCTGCGCTTGGAAAATCCACGAACGGGAGCAGAGCTGAGCATGCAATCATTACGCAACGCTGAGAGCTAAGTCAATTCATTTTGAGTCGCTCCCAGCGCAATCTCGAGCGAGACATTCTGCCGCTGGACCTCTTCTGATGTCGTCGATCTAATGACGTTGTGGTTTCAGCTCCTCGACAGGAAACGGCGAGAGAAAATCATCAAGAATTCGTTTTCGAAGGAACACAGAGGAGTCCTGCCCCCTACCTTCGAAATCTCACTTCGTGTAACATCCATTAGCTCCCTGCTCTCCCACCAGAGGAAAATCTGAAGACATTTTTTCCTTCCCCGCGTCGTTCCATTTGAGACAAACACACAGTTTTTTTCGGGGGCGGTTCGAGGAGCTTCTGCAGCGGCCCGAAAGTCACCTGCTGTCGGCAGACTTCGCGGGATCGTCGTGGCGTCGCGTCGGTGGAATAGTCATTACAAGCGCGGGGGTGGGAGGAAAGAGCGATGTTCACAGTCGAGAATGATACGGGGAGAGAATCTCGCGAGGGAACAGCGTGAGAGACGAACGAAGCCTTAAAAATATGAACGAACACGAAACGAGCGAAAAGAAACTTGAACACAAATGAGAGAATATTCGCTCAGCTCTACCCTCGAATAAGTGAGCGACTACGGAATAAAGCGAGGGGGGAAGAACGTGAGAACGAAATGGAGTGAGCGCTAGACTGAGTGAGACCAAATAAAGAATACGAAACAACACCATCACTGCATAGTTGACAAGAACGAGCCGCCCGCAAGACTACTAAGATGATATCGTTGTGGTCGTTCTTAGCGGAGTTTGCTCTTGTCGTCGGAGGAATGTTTCGCTGAGGAAAGTGACTCTCTCTTCTCGGCTCCTTCCGACAGCCGATCCGACGATTCCCGTGATTAGACCAGCATTCGGCGTCGTAGAAACCGAGAAATCGGAGAGCCAGCTGTGAGAGCATTTCCGTATCGGTGGGTTCATGAAGCAATCCATCGAGGTCCCGAAGTCGTATCGCACACAACTAGGCTCCTACGTCTATTCCACATACATTCAAGAGGAGCCACCTGCCCGTCAGGACAAGAGAAATGACGAAGGAGCAGCGTCATGATCCTCGAAGTCTGAACGAGGCCAGGGGAAAAATGAAGACGGAAAAGAAGCAAGAAAGACCATTTCCCAGTCACGACGACTCGAATACGAAAGGAGAGGCTAGGTGTTCTTATCGTGGCTGTTGTTGGGGGATTGTGGATGCGGCTATAGCGGAGCCAATAAAGAAGATTGCCTTTTGGCGTTATTCGTTTTGCTCCGAATTCAATTCGAATCAAGCCAAACGAAGTCTCTTGTCGATTGGGGAGACTTCCGAGTGCTTCACATCGAATCCATCCAAGCATCACCTCAACGCAAGCCTAGCTATCAGTTATAATTGAGAAAAAAAATTCTTCATCACTGAGCCGTCCGTAGAATTCGGGTACTTTCCCGCCGGGAGCGATGCGATGCCTCCGACGAGGAGCATGGTGCGGCGGAAGCAAACGTGCATACACCGTCTTGATACTCGCGTACAAATCGCTCAGGTCGCCGGGCGGTCTCAATCGCTCTCGTACAGAAAGTTCTATGTGGGCTATGTAGATCTGAGTCGCACACGCTCGGGTCGTTTGAAGGCAGCTCGCTGGGTCCACCGCTTGGCTCCTTGGTCAGTCGTTGGCTCGGTGGAAAACGATTGGCTTTCTTCGTCGTCATATTGGACTGCGGCAACGGCGGCGGTGGCGGCTGTGAGGCCTGCGAACAG